TATCTGCGTCGACTTCGATTCCATATTCTTTGCAGAGGCTGTAATGAAGTTGGGTGCATACTCTGTCGTGTCTCTCGATATAGTCCTTTTGGGCTAGAATTGGGCAGCCTGATGTTATGTGCTCAATGGTTTCTTCGAACTGGTGACAGATTCTGCATTTGCTATTCACATGTTTCTTGTGGATTTTCCTCTCTCGGTACCTTGTGTTTAAGGCTTGATCCTGTGCCGCTACAATTAGGCTCTCTGTTTCTGCTTTTAGTACACCTTTACTGAGCCAGATGGTAGAGAGATTACTCTCGATAGAGTCATTTTTTAGCATCAGTGGATACTGCCTGTGCATGATCTTTCCTTTCCATTTGGTTCTGATGCTTTCTGAGATTTTCTTTTTGATTTTTTGCTTCCTGCTGTTTATGGGGGCCACTTCAAAGTTTTCTCCGAGCTCGGCTTCTATTATTATTATTATTATTATAATAATTATTAATCTAATCGTAGCAGCCGGTTCATTGCATAATGCACGGCTGGGAAAACGTAAAGCTGCGGCAAATACACGTACCAAAGTGATAGTAATGGAGTTATCTGCAGGAGGTCTCGCCTCCCATGTCGCATTCTATCATTTAATCGCAAATATTTTGTCAGTTGATACACTATTCAAATGATGCAAATATATTTGATATTGTTTATTTCATTCCAGGTTATTTTGTTTTTGGACACCTCACAGTTCCGATGAAATCTTTTAGGCTTGACTGCACGTGGTAAGCCATTTTTTATCCGTCAAAAAAGTGATGCTACTGTTTCAGATGCACGGTGACGGTTAATTATTTCAGACTTACGATGGGTGAGAGAGAAGTGCAAGTGATTCAAGAGACGAATACTTGAGGCATGACGATGCAGATTTTAATTTAGAGGTGATGATTTGCTGTGTTTAAATTGAAAAAGGCAAATATCGCCATTCTCCAAACGAAGGATCGTAACTTCATAGCAAGGTCGCAAAATAATTAAATAAAACAATTACATTGTATACATAACTGCTAACGCATATTGTCTAAAATTTGTCTAATTTTTGAACGCGATCAGAAGTAAAAATTTATAAAACTTTTCGAATGTATTGCCCAAGATTTTCCTGGTAGATATGCAATTTTTGAGTGAAAATTTGGCAACATTGACATGTAGTTACGTTCATTCGTGAAGAAAGCAACAGTATTTAAAAATTAGAGAGAAATGTATCACTTACAATATGACTAAACTGCGAAGGCCACGGAATGCATTGACTGGAATTTGTTTCAATTTGTTATTTCCTAAATTTCTGCAATTAAAAGAACACTAGAATTAGTTTCAAAGTGAGGAAATGCAAATGAGGAACGGAAAAAGTATCTGAGACACTACTCCACGATCTCTTAGTCATTAAAATGAAAAAATCGTGAATATAGACGGAGATGGTATACCCCTAGTAAATCTGAACACCTAAAAAATAAGTGACATCGTCGAAAAATAGCTGACATCACCTAGAAGTTAGGTGACATCACTTAGAAGGTAGACGATGTTACCTAGAAGGTAGGTGGCATCGCCTAGACGGTAGATGCACCTAGAAGATAGGTGACGTCACCTAGAAGGTAGGTGACATCGCCTGGAAGGTAGGTGACATCACCTGGAAGCTAGGTGACATCACACAGGTCGCATTTGAGTTTCAGGATTTAGTAAGGAAAAATTAAATATTAACTAGCTAATTATTGGATAATTTCATGGGTGGATAATAGAACATTTGCTAAACATTTTTATACCTATGTGGAAAAAACTATGAGAATAAATGTATGTAAAAAAAAGAAATTTAGAACATTAAGTAAAATAAAAACAAGAATGAAGTAAAAATAAAATAGATTAGAGACATGAAATGTCGTAAAAAATATATACGTTAGAAGTGGACGTTAGAAAATGAAAAAAGTGAAAATACAAAATAAAGTGAAAAATAAAATGCAGTCCGAACATAGTAAATAAAATAAAGTAAAATAAAATGAAATAAAATAAAATAGAGAAAAAAAGATAAATAACACAGCGTGAAAAAATACAAATTTAAAAGATAAAGTAATTTAAACAAATAAAATATAGTAAAAAAATAAAAGAGGGAATATAATAAAATAGGGTGAAATTATAAAGTAGAGTAAAATGAATAAAAAAAATATAAAATGAAATAAAGGTAAAAATGAAAACATAGGTAAAAAAATAAAATGAAGTAAAGTAATAAACTGAAATGAATTAAAGTAAAAAAAGAACAAATCAATAAAAACTAGTCGTGATATTTTGGCTGTACAGTGTACGTTTAATTCGAAGCTAAATGCAGGTATTCTATCACTGTTTTCAGGCGGCCGGCATAGCTAAGTAGGTAAGGTCTTTGTTCAGTGTTCGGGAGGTCACAGGTTCAATCCCCGGAGCAGGCAAAAAATTCCAGATCAAAATTCCAACGAAAGTGCCTAACAGTGTCGTGGACGCCATTTTTCACAGTGTTTGAAATAATCCCCGTACATAAAACATTTTTTTTTTTTTGGGGGGGGGGGGTTCACGGCCCCACGATGCTACCCAGTTAGACAGCAATATTTAAAAATATTGACTATATTTTCAGAATATTTTTAAGAAATATTTATTTTTTTACATTTTTAATATATTTTTAAAATATTTTCAAAAGTACTTTTGAAATATAATTAATAAATATTTTTAAATTTTTTTAAAAATGTATTAAAAATTTAAAAAAATAAAATGTTTAAAATAATATTATAATATTTTTAAAGTATATCATAATTATCTTTGTTAATATTTTAAAAATATTATTAAATATTATTTTTAAAATTTAAAATTTTTTTAAAATGTTTAAATTAATACTATAAAAATTTAAAAGAAAAAAAGGAAATAATAATAATAAATAATTATAACATAAATACATCTACATAAATTCAAACTAGAAAAAGGCCCAAATAATTAAAACTGGAAAAAGGAATTATAAAAATTATTAATTTGGTTAAAAAAAAGAGAGAGGGAGAGGGAGAGCGAGAGAGAGAGAGTTAAAAAAGAGAGAGTTAAAAAAAATGAAAATAAAAAAATTACATGATGAAATAAAAAACAATAAATAAATAATAAATAATAAAGTCTGGTAAAATATCATAAGAATCCGTCAATAAACAAACATATTACGGACTCAGAGGCCTGCGATAGTTAAGAGATTGAATTTAGGGGCCCATCTATATCAAGCCTGGCTGGTCTGGTAGTAAAGTACTGGACTTTGGATTGCAACACCATCCCGAGGTGTGGGTTTTAATCCCGACTAGGACAGCGCGGAATTTAAGGTAAGTCACAACTCTACGATGATCCACCACCTGGTATATGCACCAGATGCACGCATATGCACGTTCGAAAGAACATTAATACCAAATACATCACCTAGAGAGCGCGCACTCTAGGGTGCAATACTTGTGCAATATTTTCAAGACATTCTGACAATACTCAAGTAATATTTTTAAAATATTCAAGAAATATTTTTAAAATATTGGGACGTTAACATTAACGTATTTTAAAAATATTTTTAAAGGTTTCCCAAAATATTGTGTGAAAATATTAATTTAATATTTTAAAAATTTCTTAAAAATATTTTTTGTCTAACTGGGTAGGTGACATCACCTACACATAGTTTTGGGTAACATCACCTATAATTTTAGGTGACATCGCCAGTTCCAAAAATCGCCTCACCTAAGCTGGTGAGGCAATGTCACCTATATTTTTAGGTGATCAGTTTTACCAGGGTACGTTGCAGGCAATTAGCAATCGCCGGGTAATTCGGAGACAGTTTACATTTTACTTCAATAAATTGCAATGCACATCGGCATGCTAAAACTTTGATGGGTGTCTTAATTGCACGTTCTCGGCTTGGCCCCTTCTATTTTTGTGATACCCTACGATTTGTCACAGAGTTGATTTATAGATGCCTGTCCGATCGAAACTCACCAACCTAGGGTCATGGGTTTCAATACATATTCTCCTAAGTGCGCCTGCCGATATGATTCTCCGGGAAAAAAGGGTGTCTTTCAGATTAAGAGCAAGATAATCATGAATCAAATTTTGATGTCTTATTTATTTCTGCATTCCTCGTTTTCCAGTTTTTTTCCTAGTAGTTTGCACATTGTTGGCAATTACCAATCGCCTACGACATATATGTATTACACATTAGAGAGGAGAATTACTACAACTACACCTATCTGTAGTTTTTACTATCTCAATCTTTCAAAATTTACTGCTAATGCTTCTACTAATATAGAGCGTTTTACATTCATACCTTACCATTTTGCACTTTGCATGAAAAAGGCACAGATTGAGAACTTTTGTAATTTTTTTTCCACAACTTACTTGCTAACAAATGAGACTCGTCAAATAATTCACTCATTCATGCGCCTAATTATAAGTATTCCTAATAAATATACGATTTGATTTGTGACTGAAAGGTTAAAGAGATACTTACAGTGCCTCTAAAGCTGAAAGTGGAGCTAAGGCGTCGGTGGGGACTTGACGAAAGTTGTTGCCATCCAAACGTAGATTCCGCAATTGTGAAAACTGTTCAAATGAGTTGGCTTCTAACGACTCGATGTGGTTTTGATCGAGTTGTCTGAAAATTGTAAAAAGATAAAATAGCACACACCTAGTAGATATACAGAATAAATCAACGTAAGTCCCTTTGAATCATGTTTTACCGTTTTTTATTCAACTGGTAAAACCTTACCACAACCGTGATAACGGTTAAGGTGAGAAAAAATGAAAATCGTCCACATGTTTAGACATCAGCAACAAAGCTTTTTACAAACAACGGCGGATGACGATATCTTCTGCCTAGAAAAGGATTCTCCGTTAAGAAAGAACGTAAAAAACTCCGTACAAAGTAAGAGAGCACATTAGTCCGTGGTATAAATATAATGAAAATAAATAATTTTCATAAAGATCAAGTATAAGATTGACCCCAGATAGCACAAAATATTTTGAAAATATTTTGAAAATATTGTCACTTTTATCAAAATATTTTCATGACAATATTGTAATTAATATATTTATAAAATATTTACAGAAAAAAATTTTAACCCTTTACTGCATCGCGTTGCCATATGGCAACAGTAATTATTTAATTCGTAATAAATTCAGGAATGCTCATATTGGTACCCCGTGTGGATTATAGGGAACTCAACCGCATTACCAACCTAAAAAATATTGTGGTGGGGGGAACTGGAGCTGCCAACTCAACTAAATAATCCTGTTTTTCCAACGGGACCATTTTTGAGGAGGAGCCACGAGGAGCCTAATTTTGAAGGATGTTTTGAATGACTTGGCTTGCCTTTAGAGACGGGAAAAAAATCCCAGTTATGACCTATACGGTCTAAATTGAAAATTTCCTGGTCCGATGATAATAAAAAGTATTTAAAAATTATTTTCGGCTCAAAAACGGCGAGTTTCCATATGGCAACAACATACCGGCTCACTTCTGGCCCATAATTTTGCCTGTTGCCATATGGCAACACCATACTGACTACGACGCAATAATGTTTCTTGCTATCCAAAAATAGAGATTACAATTCATCATTAGACGCTTTTTGAATTTGGTAATGTTATAAGAATCAAGAAAACTTATTTTCTTAGCTTTAATCTTCAAAAATCCCGCACAAGAGTTATGCCCTGGCATCACTATTCCACTCCTGCGGGGCGATTATTGAAATTTCTTGTTCGTCGGGACGACATAGATGACATAGGTTAAAAGGCGGAGCGTGATTGGTCGGCTATGTCTTATCGCTGCTTTGTCGTGCCTTTGTCAGGTGGAATGATCGACATACTGTCGGAAACTTAAGAGGTGCCGTTAGCTTGTTGATCATTCCACCTGACAAAGGCACGACAAAGCAGCGATAAGACATAGCCGACCAATCACGCTCCGCCTTTTAACCTATGTCATCTAAGTCGTCCCGACAAACAAGAAATTTCAATAATCGCCCCGCTGTACTGCATGTTGTTGCTATATGGAAACAAGTGGACACTCTGGCAAAAAAGTTACTGTATGTTGTTGCCGTATGGCATCGAGCTTCTTTAAGCTTCAAAAGTTAAAGAAAAAATTAAAATTTGGAAAAAAGCTCAAAGATGTGTCTTTTTAATTTTATTTTACTATAACATATATTTTTTTTCATCAAAATCGGCATCGCAAGAAAATTCAATGCAGTAGAGGGTTAAAATAATTAAAAAATATTGCCTGTAAAAATTTTTAAATATTCCCTAAGAATGTTTTAAAAGCATTTTAAAAATATTTTCTTGAAAATATTTTTAAGTTCTCAAGTTAGTATGTGGTGTAATTTACACCAGTGTAAATTTTGCGTAAGTACCTATTACGTGATATCGAAAAAAAAGCAATACGAAAAAAACAAATGACGCGAACAAAAATAAATAATTGGAAAAAGAAAGAAGCCTGAGAAAACACCTCCTTAATCAAAGCTATGCTGAGAGTTGAGCCGCGCACTGACGCAATGCATGCTATAACAGCCTGAACAGGCGTGATTTTAATCTCTCTCAGAGTGTTGGGCTATGAAACTCGCGGTCCGGGTTCAAGTCCACATAGGGCGTCCGGATATTTTACGCTGCTAAACGTCGCAGGACTTCAGGTAAGTGATTTATACTACTCAATACTTGTATACTTGTGTAATTCATGTTTCAAATGTAATACATGTGCAGAACTATGATAATTACGGTCAGTAACTGTACTTCCACATCTACTTGACATAGTAGGCTGAGTATACAGACGTGTATACAGAAGCAAGTAGTGCCGTTAATCTTTGATAAAGGGCGCATGGTACTAATAGGTAAAATGGTAAAATATTTTTAAAATATTGCCAAAATAATTAAAAAATATTTTGAAAAAATTTTAAAAATATTGTCAAAATATTTTTACAATATTTTAAAAATATTTTAAAGATATTTTTGTGCTATCTGGGACTCCTTTGGCACTGTTCCGTCAGTGGCATTGTTTTTTGAAATGGATTAAACGGTTAAAAAAGTTAACCGCTTTACCTTTCCTCTTCTCTTTTCCTAAATCTTAAGTAACTGCATTCCTCCAAACTCAGGCTCTAATTGGATTACATTTAGCAATTATTGTGTACTACTTCCGGCTGAGTTTTGAAATAGCATATGTGCTATTAGCTCCCATATACAGATACATGCTTTCATGGGTAAGCCAGCAATATTGGTTCCTTTGTTAGTAAAATATAATCCAATCGATCAATATTTTTCATTTTTACAGTCGATAGGGATACGCAAATGTTCCTGTTCCCTCTTTGGATGGATTCAATAAGTATTTTTGAATTGTTTATGAAACAATGCGTTTAATTTTGATCAATTCAACACCATGTACACATTTTGGTAGATGCATATACTAGCGTGATATTTTTTTATTCAATTTAAGTACTTTTTACCCCCTCTGAGAGATATTACAACCTGAGAGAAGTTCGATGAATCTATTCGAAGTAAAAAAAAAAAAAAAAAAAAACAGTACTTACAGCGAGGCTAGATGGCTTAAAGGTCGCAATGCATCAGTAGGTAGTGTAGCTAAGCCACAATTTTGAAGAGATCTGTAAAAAATGATGAATATGCAAAACTTAAGAATCCAACATTTTTATACACCTTCAATATTAGCTATTTCTATGAGAATTGTAAGTACTGTGAAGACTGAGCAATCACACGTGCTTTCACAAAAGGGCTTCAATTCAAATTTATAACGACTGTATACAAAATCTGTTCACAAAAGGGGACTAAACTTTATCTGAGCTACCCAAGACTCATTACTTAAAGATATCCGGAGAAACTTTTCTCACCTAGGGTAGGTGGGGGTAAAAAGCCGCACGGAGAAAAAGGCGGCCGCACCCGACTTTTTACCCGAAAATTGTTTAGGTTTGCACCGGGACCGTGTCAGTTATGTTGGTAGTGGTGGTGCTGTTGTGTTGACGAAGTTTTGGACCGAACGGACGCGTTCTCTCGAGAAGATGAGGAGAGTTAATTTTTCGTAGAAAAAAATCGATTTTTCAAGATTTAGTTTGGTCCATTTCAAGTTCTATAGTAGATAGAAAAATTTGGACGAGTTTCAGTTCGAACAATGATAAGAATGGTTTGAATATCCCGCAGTCACTTTCGGGCTAATGACCTTGGCTTTGAATTTTGAGGTTGTGGTCACCTACGTCATCACATGGGGCAAAAAGCCGCAGGTCCGATGGGGGAAATGGCCGCATGCGGCCTTCACTAAAATAGAACTACTAGGGCCCACGAACGATGATCCCTGAAAAATCGGGTGAGTAAACGCATGGACCATGTAAATGACAACGCTGCAAGGTCGAGCACGCACATCGACGAGACCGGGCATTGTGAACGCGAAAAGCTATTGTATGCGAACTGCTACTATTCTACCCCTATCATCAGGTCAAAATTCTTTATAGGAAGCCCTTTCGTATAAGATCAATTTCTTATAATTTTGCCCCAATCTCTTCGTAAATCACATGGTTGGATTGATCGTAAAATTCTGAGCTAAATCGTATATAATTGTTGTATACAATCTTTATTTTTTCCTTCTTTTTCCCCTTTGAAGCGAAGTCCAATTTTTATTTATAACATCTTATCTCGAACTGTAACTTTGCTGCTATTTGACCGATTTTTGTAAACGAGGCCTCTTTTTACTCGTGTTTTAAAGGAAAGTAACGAAACACTTGCTAAAAAAATGTTACACACCTTCCAACAAATTTTGGTTTTTTCTACCGGGAGGGTGAAATGGGAAATTACGCGTAAGTAATTAGGGTTCGATTGTGGCTCGGCTCGGCATTGTCCGCGAACTCGAGATTCGGTCCGGGCCGGGGTGTCGCTGTTGCCAGTGTTTACAAGAAATACCCGCGGCTCAGGGATCATCGTTCATGGGCCCTAGTATGATACTTAATCTATCAACTAATACTACCAATACTTTATCTTTTACTACCTATTTTACTAAAAGTTATTAATAATTACCACAGATCTTAAAATGTAGGGTAAGTGGAGGCAAAAGTTCACACTTTTCCGTTGTGGCCGTCTGTCAGCCTCCGTATCGCATGGAAATTCTGGAAATGTGGTAAAAAATCAACTATAGACCCTTAGGCATGAAATGGCACACTTTCCAGAATTTTGAATGCATTTCCGAAATTTTTTTAAACAAATTGTAAAAATTTCGGAAATGCTTTTAAAATTCTGGAAAGTGTGTCATTTTGTGCCTAAGGGTCTGTAGTTGATATTTTACCACATTTCCGAAATTTCCATGCAATACGGCGGCCGACAGATGGCCGCAACGAAAAAGTGCGGCCTTTTACCCCCACCTACCCTATGATAGTCTGAAAATACATACATTTAAAAACATGCCCATCTAAAATGACAAGGCAATTCACTGAAAATTGACTGGTAGAACATTCGTACGAAACCATATTAATCATGCTTAACTTCCTGCGTAAAATTCCGAGTGAAATGTCCAATTGGTGAGACACCTTAATAATATGACTATATCCAATTTTTACGAAAGTTTTCTGTAGTATTCGAGTTAAGATTACAATATGAGGATCTTTACATCAATTTGCTTTGCCTTATTCCATATTCATACCAGTTTTCATGTTTCGTTTTAAGGAAGCTCTCACAAATTTAGTTCATGCGTTACTGAAGATTGTATAAAACTTACAGTCTTTTTAATCTGCCGTTGTAAAGAAAAGTTCTGGGGTGGATGTGCACTAGTTTATTGTCCGCGAGGATTCTGTAAAAAAAACAACGACACATGTTGAAAAAATCTCATATGAATTCTCCCTAAGTGCGCCTGAAAACATGGAATCATGGTCAAACCTTTTTTTTTTTTCAATTCACTGCACAGACATTTTGCGAAAAAACAGGACGCAGAGGGTGAGGAGGTCGAGGAGCTAACTCCAAGTTGGGTTACAAATTGATGCCAAAAAGTGAAAACCACGTATTTCTGTTTGTGACGTTGTGGACTTCCTACTTTACTTTATTTTATCTTTGAAGACGATTGAACATAATTTTCTGGAATTCTGCCTTAAATTTTCTCATTCCGTTACCAGAATAATCTTCAATGGACCACTAGACAAGGTACGAATTTGAGCATTCTGATACATGTTTCTTAACCAAAATTTTACGTAGAACACGATTCTTACAACAAAAATTACTTAAACCAGCTTTTAACGAAGACATTAACGTTTTTATTTCACATTGTTCACGAGGAATTTGAACTGCCCGCTTACAAAAAACTCAAAGCTCTACACGAGTCAAATTGCGCACTACAACGGTTTCAGCTAGCTTCTCAATCGAGCAATGTTCATTTCCCACCATGTGTAGTTCAAACTATAAGCAATTTGCTACAGCTGAGCCAAAACGTCAAGATTGAAGTCGCCAGATTTTTACATCGCAGAGACTATCATGATAACGTATAGCGCGCGATGTGATTCACGTAGAGCATTGAGTTTTCATAAGCGGGTAATTTGAATTCACACACTAAGAATCATTAAATATCTTCTGAAGGAGTTGATTTCGGTAATTTTCGTTGTGAGCATCGTGTTTTACGTAAAATTTTGGTTAAGAAACATGTATCAGAGTGCTAAAATTCGTACCTTGTCTAGTGGTCCATTAAGCTGCAGAGTCGGCTCCATCCTCCTCGAGAATATAGAATAATGCCGAAAATTTTGAAAGACTGAATTGGATACGAGGCTTCGCCCTTGGGCCACCGAAATAACGGTTAAATATTTTGTGTGGGGAAGAAAACACACGTCATCAGAATAGTGGTGTTTTGCATAGGAATATTTCTTAATCCATCATCACTGAAGTAAACATTCGACGTTTTAAATGATGTTGTTTGTTATAGTGCAGAGTGTAATAAAAGGAAGGTACAAATAAACGCAGAGGCGTACTGGGACCCTTTAAGGGGCGCGGGACGGACACTTTGAGGGCGCTGCCACAGGGGAAGGGGGGGGGGTTCTGGTGGGGAGTCCGGGAGTCCTCACCCGGAAAAGAAAAACATAACCTTTTTAGACACAGTTTTAAGCCATTCTGAAGAAAAAATAAATGAAAAATGGTTTCGCATATTAGTGTCACTTTACGTGGTTTTAAATGAGGAAAATTGTACCACAAGATCTCAGCGCCACCTTCGGCGCACCAATCTGCCCTGTTCCCTTACGCACTTGTTCGGAAACGGGCGCCCTGTCTCTAAATAAGAAAGCATGCTCTCTTTAAAGAAGGAGGCGCCCTCTCACATCTTCATTGTTGCATGATTATTATTTTTTTTTCATTTTCTGGAAAGCAGTAGGGCGTCAGGGCGCCTGGGCGGGAGGGCGCACCGGGACATGTCCCGGTGTCCCGGTGGGCCAGTACGCCCCTGCTTCTACACGGAAAAAAAACAAATTGCTGATTCAACAATTCAATTGCTAAAAACAGTGAGCACACAGTATGCAAAAACAGTGTGCAGGGGCGCACTGGCCCACCGGGACACCGGGACATGTCCCGGTGCGCCCTCCCGCCCAGGCGCCCTGATGCCCTACTGCTTTCCAGAAAATGAAAAAAAAAATAATAATCATGCAACAATGAAGATGTGAGAGGGCGCCTCCTTCTTTAAAGAGAGCATGCTTTCTTATTTAGAGACAGGGCGCCCCTTTCCGGACAAGTGCGTAAGGGAATAAGGCAGGTTGGTGCGCCGAGGGTGGTGCTGAGATTTTGTGGTACAATTTTCCTCATTTAAAACCACGTAAAGTGACACTAATATGCGAAACCATTTTTCATTTATTTTTTCTTCAGAATGGCTTAAAACTGTGTTTAAAAAGGTTTGTTTTTCAAAATTTTCCGGGTGAGGACCACCGGACCCCCCCTTCCCCTGTGGCGGCGCCCTCAAAGTGTCCGTCCCGCACCCCTTTAAGAGTCCCAGTGCGCCCCTGTTTTCAAGTATAGCGACGGCTGAACCTTGATCATGGACTATGTGACAGAATTTTAAAATCTCCATTCTCATTTTACTTCTGAAAGAAAAACTAACGGACAGCATAGCATGCGTGCGGATTCGTTGCAATCCGGTTAAGAACAAACACGCAAGGGGACATTTAAGACACTTGCATTTTGAGATAGAACTTTTAGAGTTTTGCCATCGTTAGGTCTCCTCGGTAAAGAATTTTCTTCCTCTATTTTCTTGCAAAAATGTTACACGATGTTTTTTTACGTTGGAGTCTCCTGCCTTTGACATGTAATCGTCTAATGAATTATTTAATGTAAACCTTAATGAATGTAAACCTTTATGAATATAAACCGTCCGATCTCCCCTCAATTTGTACAAGAATTGATTTTTTTAAGCGAGGCAGTCATTGTTTCTTTCTTTTTTTCCTCCATATACCGCACTAAGTAATTCACCGCGCAATTTTTTCTCGCATGATTCTTTATTTTATTCGAATCCGCCCGTCTTCATATGTTGAATTTCTTTTTCGGTTTACTGTGTGCTGTATTTACAAATCTACGCAACGCTCACTTCCAACCGCACACTAAAAAGCGCCTTTGACAGCTGTGTGTGTGTGAGTGCGCTCCAACCCCTCATAAATAAACATTGTACGCGCATATATCAAAGAGAAGTCCCACGAATTCAATGTGATTTGTCTCCATTATATAACTCTTGTCCCAACCTTTCGTCCTCTTGTCAGGAAAATCTGAGTAAAAGGGCAAGATTTGATCAGCCGTTATCCGCCTTTTCCGTCCTTTTCGAAAACTTTGGAAAATATTTTCTCCTTCTTATCAAACCCCGACTAAGTATACACGAGCAGGCTAGTCGCGGGAAAAATCCTCTTAATAGCCAAAAGTCAAGCATATCAATATGAAGCTCCTGGCTTTTTTCCACCAAAAAATACATGGCTTCTCTTTTGGGATCTGAATGGTTTAGGAACAACAATCTCAAAATGTTATCGATATAATCTCCGAAATTCCCGTAAACATTTTCAAATCGCTCGAGCTCAGTTTTATAATGACCTCGTTGTGTTTTTTTTTTTTTCAAATATTACCTCATTATGATTATTTTTATTACGTCCTTGACGTCCATAGTCCGAAGCCGGCTGTCTTTTGACATTTTCCGGCGTTTAAAGGCAAAGGAGAGTCAAACTTGAGTCTCCTTACAACCAACTCATTATTTAGATAAAGTGAACTGTTGCAATTTGAAAAAAATTGAATTCAGAAAATGCTAGTTTGAAAAGGGGGAGTTCTTAAAAACATGTAAAAATTTTAAAAATTGTTTCAAAGCTAAAATTTAAAAAATCTCAACAATTCTAAAATGAAATTCTAAAAATGTAAAAAATTATTATTTTTCTTTTTACATTTTTTTTGACTCGGAAGAGGGAACACTTCCGGTATAAGTAACTAAAAAAAATCCTCAAAAAGGGTACAAATTCCGCCAAGCTCATGAGATGTCTTTACAAAATTAGTAGGTATGTAACTAATACATGGGGGAACTCGGTTTGAACCATAGAACGTTTATTGAAAAACACTATACAGAAAAATAAAATACCATAACTGAATTTTAAGTATCATTTTACGGGAAAATAGGGAGGTTAAGGGACTTGGTTCCTGTATTGAAACTCCAGAGATCAATATTTATTGAAAATGGAAAGTAACGGACAATTTTTCCCTCTACGTTTTTTTTCATCAATTCAAACTACTATTTCTTTTATTCTTGGCACCTCTTTCCTCCCCAAACATAATATACACAAAGAATGAGTGAAAATTATTTCCCCCTGTTTCTGTCCTTTTTTATTTCTGAAGAACTTATAAAGTGACGCGAGAAAACGAAGAGGTTAAAAATTGAAATTAGGTGAAATAAGAATAAAGCACTCACACTTCTTCGAGGTCTTTAAGGAACATGAAGGAGGTTTCAGTCAGTTCTGTGATGTTGTTTACTGCTAAATCTCTGCAACAAATGAAAACAATTCAATTAGAAAATGTCTACGAATCGGAACAGTCAGTCAGGAGCAAGGGAATATCATACTCTATAAAATAAAATCCTGTAAGGAACGTGTAACGCATGTGGGTCTTTAAGCTCAGTTCCTCATGAGAGTATTTTGCTAGTTTTTACTTCACTTGCCTAACTTTACTACCAAAGATTTTTGTGCTCACAATACTCTGGGTAATCTGATATTCGCAATAAAAATGTGTTAACTTACTCATTAGGTACTCATTACCTACTCTCCAAATTTTTAACAATAAAATGTTTGTGGCCAGATCCTTCAGGAATGTTTCCAATTTCAAAATACCCAAGGGCTTTCTGTATCTCATTAGAAAAGTAAATCAGTCAGTGGAAGTAGTTCCTACTTAAGGATCATCTTAGCAATGTGTCTTTTCAGAAATTTTAAGTACCTACATTTGTTTAAGTAAACTATTTCACTTCAAATATACAAGGACTCTGACATTAGAATTTTCTTATGCTCATCTTTGAAGTATTTTTTAGCCTTTCATAGCTTACTGATATTATTGACTTTCAATGACTTCATTTGTGAATATGTACACCCAAGAATTCACATGACTGCTAGCCTTGGACATGCATAACAACCTACGATTAAAATTAGGTAAATGTTCCAACACTTAAAATGCGCAAGAAGAAAAATTTCTCGCAAATTGTTTGCTAAGGCTACTTTATTTTATTTTATTTGAGAGATTTACCTCCTCTAATTTTTTTGAGAAAATCATTTTGATTTCAGAAGGAATTTTTTAAATTTGAAAATAAATTGGAGCACATCTTTCAAAATATATTAACTGATCCCTGTTGGAATTATTCTGTGCGGAATCAAGCAGAGGTTATGCAAAGGTAACCAACTGTAAAATTTTGGATACATGATTAGGTAAATGTCATTCCGACCAAAGTTGACCACTTTTTTTTTTTTTTTTTTTTTTTTTTTTTTTTTTTTTTTTTTTTTTTTTTTTGACGTAGTTCTTCAAGTCATGTCCTTAGTTCCAGCATCACCACATAACTCCGTTTGAAGAGGATAAATGCAGGCAGCAGTAAATACTAGCAGTATTTTCTTTTGCCTGTATTCAATTTTGTTCTCCCTGTCTTTAAAATTTGGAAAGAAATATTTTTCATCTTCAAGGGAAGAATAACATCAAGAAGGAAGTTTGTTTGTAATGAATCCTTATCCACCAATATTCATTTCTTAATATTTTCCTCCTTTTTAATAAGCGTCTTATGGTCTCAGCATGTGCAGAAAAACCAAAAATAACAGATGTAACCACAAAAAACCCTCAAAAAGGGTAAAAATTCCGCCAAGCCTATGAAATCTTATCACAAAATTAGTAGGTATGTATCTAAAAAAAAAATTTAAAAAAGAGAGGTGGGGGATAGAATCTCTTAAAAATTACAAAAGGAGAAAAGAAAAGCAGCTCTTTCAAACTTTGTTTTCAATTTCAAACCTCAAAATGTCTGATATCATTTGAGGTCAAGATTTTTTAAGTATAGGTACGCCCCAGAACTAAAACGAGCAAACGGGGAATTAATTCTGGTGAGAGTGTCCTTCAGATAGTCTCGGACGCAGCCAGGTTACCTTTGAAGCTAGTTTAGTTGCCTGGGTCACTAATACAAGGAAAGATAATTGGATTTGATTCCTGCGAGAAGATGGCGAGGGATAAAACAAGCAGTTCTTTTTTCAGTCTCAAACCTCAAAATATTTGATATCTTTTTAGGTCAAGATTTTTTACCATTTCTTCATCTCACTTTCATATTCGTTTTGCATTTTTGGAAATAAATTCCACTCTCATACATCATGGAACTTTCTTTAATTTTTCGCTAATTATTCCCCTTCATTTCAGGTAGCCGCAACTCTTCTTACCTACAATAGCTATGTAAGGAACCATTGTATAATACTTACGAGACCTTCCTCGTTTCGATCAAGAATAGAATAAATGTTTTCAATTCAGATTTTGGCTCACTCTTTGAAAATTAAAAAAAGAAGTCAGGTAGATGAAGGTAGAATTTTTAAAAAGAGGAATTTAAAAGGAGTTTTTTCGAGCATTCATGTGATCCTTCCTGTGTTGTTCTGCTTACAATGCTTGAGGCTATACCTTAGTGTCTAAAAGAAGATGGGCTGCAGCTGACACTCAAATGATACGTATCGGGACCGTCTCGCCAGAATTTTTTATTTTCTAGCTAATTTTTTTGGCTCTTTTAAAAAATTCTACCTTCATCTACCTGACTTCTTTTTTTTAATTTTCAAAGAGTGAGCCAAAATCTGAATTGAAAACATTTATTCTATTCTTGATCGAAACGAGGAAGGTCTCGTAAGTATTATACAATGGTTCCTTACATAGCTATTGTAGGTAAGAAGAGTTGTGGCTACCTGAAATGAAGGGGAATAATTAGCGAAAAATTAAAGAAAGTTCCATGATGTATGAGAGTGGAATTTATTTCCGAAAATGCAAAACGAATATGAAAGTGAGATGAGGAAATGGTAAAAAATCTTGACCTAAAAAGATATCAAATATTTTGAGGTTTGAGACTGCAAAAAGAACTGCTTGTTTTATCCCTCGCCACCTTCTCGCAGGAATCAAATCCAATTATCTTTCCTTGTATTAGTGACCCAGGCAACTAAACTAGCTTCAAAGGTAACCTGGCTGCGTCCGAGACTAACTGAAGGGGACTCTCAGCAGAATTAATTCCCCGTTTGCTCGTTCTAGTTTTGGGGCGTACCTTTACTAAAAAAAATCTTGACCTCAAATGATATCAGACATTTTGAGGTTTGAAATTGAAAACAAAGTTTGAAAGAGCTGCTTTTCTTTTCTCCTTTTGTAATTTTTAAGAGATTCTATCCCCCACCTCTCTTTATTAAATTTTTTTTTAGATACATACCTACTAATTTTGTGATAAGATATCATAGGCTTGGTGGAATTTTTACCCTTTTTGAGGGTTTTATTTTATGTATTTGCACTTTTTAATAATCTAACGGAAGTTATAATCACATCGTGATCTAGACTATTTCGAAGACGCATAACAGTTAATTCTTGGCCTTTCGATCTTCAAAATGCTGTCAAAATTTGTGTAAAGTGGGATGTACCGTCATTATCTTCCCGTTGAATTGAACTATTTTTTTAGATTTGTTCTATTAAAATTTAGATAAAAGCAAAAAATTTAAATGGTTAAGTTGTACAATGATATCTCGCTGAGTAGAATTTTCAAGGGACTGATAGAAATTTCGACTAAGGCACCTTCTTGCCTTCTTTACTTTGCCGTGTAGCACGTTCCTACTACGCTCTATAATTCGAGCTCAGCAATTTTAAGTAATTTTTAAGCGATTTTCTAAGTAACATTTCCAAATATTGCAAAAATTGATCATACATTTTAAATTTTTCAAGCGAAAATTAAAAAAATGTCTCAATACTTTATGCATGTCATTGAAGGACATTAAAAGGCATGGCATAAATGTCCACGCCAGACCCTCTGGCTACGCTACCGCTGCCTTAGGAAAACTGACGCTTGGCCGCAACCCTTCGAACGAACTATATTATGCGATGTTTGAAAAGAATCATAAATGCGGCAACAAGGCTCTTCATTGGCGTTCTGGTAGAGATATTTAATATGCACGGCGCAACTAGAGCCATGGATGACTCGTAATTTGTTTTTTATCCGCTTATGTGCAAGATAAAATGTTAATGGGTTACACATTCTGCTCAGAGTTTATTTCATCCAAACCAAGCGCGAACGCCGCAGAGACTCCCTCCCCGCATTTCACCGCGTGTTACTTCCCAGGTAGCAAGGTCTGCTATAAAATAATTTTTATTATATCTTCGAAATAACAGTTTTATTGCTATTAAATGAGAGTTTTAATTCCTATTAATATATTATAAAAAAACAATTTATATCGGTTGAAAAGATCGATTAAAGTACTCCCCAGTTACAACAGTTTCAGGCGCTATATTCCTATTTTATGAAGTTAAAAATAACAGTTTAAAATAATTTAATGACATAAATCAACAATGATTAAAGTAGTGAAAAACAAATTTCATTTGGAAAATTTACTGGTGTAAAGCGACACTTGTCTTAAAATAAAAATAAAAAATTTAAATGTTGAATACGAGTTTTGAATTATTCTTGTAAAGTATTAAAAAAAACTTAAAATATCCATAGAAAAACTAATTTCTAATAATAGAACGACTCGTAAAATTGTAGTTTTATTGAAAATTAACAGTGTCAATATATGAAATTTTATTCGTTTTTAATATTTTGTTAAACTGTTATTTTTTGGTTTTAAAAGATCAATTATAGAACTCCCCAGTTTCAGGCCTCATATTTCTATTTTGAACACCGATGACGGTGAGCACCGATACTTCCTCTAAGGAGGAGCAACAAAGACTATGCAGCAGGGATGTGACTACACTCGACACACCACACTACAATCAACGCTATAGATAGGCCCATGCCCTGTCTAGGCACAGTTAACCACAGGGGGGTCATCAAAAATGTGAGAAGAAAATCCACTCATATGCACCGAACAAAGCAAACATAGAAGCCGTCGATAAAAAAACGTATGTCGTAGAATATAAATAATATATTTCATGTTTTCACTACACACAAAGGTTAGACAGGCACCATAAACGACCCATCCAAAAACAAAATAAATCGGAGCTCTCTATCGGAAATAAAAGGAAACACCCCGATTACAATAAAACAATCGGAAATTAAAATCGGTATTTAAAAAAATAATGTAATACTAATTTATATTTCACAACTGTTTAAAATAAAATGTTTTGCAGAAAAACTGCAATAAATCAGATATTTAAACTGTCATTTTATCACTATCACTTGTATCTTTTTATCGATTTAAATTATATTTTCCTTGTTAGTGATAAATAGTTATCAAAGTTTTTTATAAGGATTCTTTTTCGACAAAAATTAAAGCTACACCGGTTTTCAGGAAACAATGA